CCGCGCCCGCACCGCCCCGGCCTGCGCCCAGGGCCCACGGGGCGCCCTGGCCTCTGAGAGCCCGCGGGCTTCCGCGCTCCGCAACTCTGACCCACGCTCTGGGTGGCCGCGTGGTTGGACACGTGTGGCCCTTGCCCAGGGACCACGGCCTGACCGGCGCGGAGGGCGCGGGGCGACTTCCGTGTCACATTCCCTTGGCGTCCAGTAGTGCCTGGACCCTCGCCCGCCTGAGGGCTGGGGAGTTTGTGGGGTCCATGCAGGGAATCCCGAAAATCCTGAAACCTCGTGTGGGATGGGGCTGGGGTTGGTGGAGAAAAAGCAAGAAACAAAAGTAGGAAAATACACCAGGTGTCCACATTATTTACTCTGCCTTTGGAAAATACGAATCTTTTAACTTGGGGCGGGGGGGGGGGGGTGGACCCTGGAGTGAGTCTCTGCTGGAGGGTGGCCTGGTGATGTGGGATGGCCCAGAGCAACCTTCACCGCCCTCAGTCTTGCTCAAGGGTAGCTATTGTAATGTTTCTACCTGGTACAGATAAAACTGCCATCTCTGCTGCAGTCTCTACAATCTGCAGGCAAGCTTCCTGATCAGGGATGTGTGACAGTAACCTTAATGGGGCTGGGCATGCGAGGATATGAGGACGGAGATTTCCGGAACCTTTGCAGCCAGCTCAACCTGCCCCTTCATAGTTTGTGGCCATGAAGATTTTTCTCCCTCAAACACAATTCCTTGCAGAGTTGGAGAGGTAGAGAAACAGGGGCATATATTGATGGGTTTTAGCAAAGCTCTCACGAAGTTCACTTTAGAGTTTGCCCCATATTCACATGGTATCAAAGTACCCAGATATTAAAAGGACAGCCAGAATATGCACAGTTTTGAAACATGTTAACATTAAATGCCTGTAATAATTTTATTTTCATTATCTCTGCTAATGTCCTGGAAGAAGGGACAAATTAGGTGGGTTTTTTTGTTTGGTTGGTTGCTTTTGCAGTTTTTGGCCGGGGCTGGGTTTGGACCCACCACCTCTGGTCGATGGGGCCTGCGCTCTACTCCTTTGAGCCACAGGTGCTGCCCAGGGACAAATTAGGTTTTTAACTTAATTTTTTTCTTTCAGGACGTTTTGGGGGTCAGCCAACCTTTTCCCTCTCCTAGGCTTCAGGATCTCTGGGAATGGCCCCATTGTCAACTCGGTTGCTCATATCTAAGACCTAAAAGTTATTCTCCATTCCATTCACGGTCCCTTAAATTCAGTCTGCCAGCAAGTCCTATTGGGTCTACTTCCAAAATGTGTCCTTAGTCTCCCCCTTCTTTCTCAAGACTTCCATCCTTGTCCAAGGTATCAAAAACTCTTTCCTGCACAAATACATTCCCCCTCCCTGCCTTATCTATTAGGCAGCCAGAGTGATCCTTAGTGGCTGAGTCAGATGTATCAGTCTCCTTCAATAGCTTCATGGACTCTTCATGGACTCGTCAGTAGCTTCTCCTTGCAATTGGCATGAAAATTAGGGGAGCTCCTTCCTCATACACCCTGAGGTGATCTGGTCTCGCCATCTCAGACCACCAGGCCATTGCCTCTAGGGTCTACTGGGCTGAGCTTGTTCTCTAGCATGATGGGATCTCTGCATTGCTGCCTCTGACTCTTCTTGTGGCCTTAGAAGGCCTTCCTTGGCCACCCTCCCTAAAGCTCTGCTGCCATGCACATCCCTTGCTGTCCCTTCATCTTGTAGTCTCCACTGTCTGCATATTCCTTCTTTCTCTGTTTAATTTCTTCTTAATTGTCTCACATTCCTCACTGGAGCTTCTAGGGGTAGAGACTATGTCTGTCTTGCTCACTGCTATGTCCTTATTATAGAACTGTGCTATGAGTAGTGGCCCAGAAACTAGCAAAAGGACATCCTTAACTTGTATGTGGTTTCGGACTCATGGAGCACTTCTGTCTCCCAACCATTGTGTGCTCATTTGTAATTGAGACCAATGTATTTCTCTGTCCTGCAGCTCCATGATATTTTATGCCCACAAATCTATTAAATGCATTTCTAGGGAAGCTGATGTTAGTCAAAGGATGCAAATAGTGCTAAAACCATGGACCCACCCTCTCATCCAGGCTTTTGATTCAAAAAGGAGCTGGACAATATGAGCATTACTAACCTGCTTCACTTGGAAAGGTCCCCTCCAAGTCTTTAGTATTGTCAGGTCTTCCCAGGATCCCTAAGAAAAGACTTGTGTTTCTCCCTTGTCAGAAACTTCACAGCAATAACTGTGTGCCTTCCCTGCCAGCTTGATCAACCCATGAAATTCACTCCTCACGGAGAGATCCAAAAAAAATAGTTGTAAAATAAATGTCAAGTTCCTCTTCTTCTTTTTAATTGTTTGGGGTTATTTGTTAATGCAGGTATAAAGGGTTGGCAGAAGGAAACTGATGAGGTTTTTAAAAATTATTAAAGCAGTCATTACTTACAGAAAGCCTTCTTTCAGATGCATGACGAAAAGAAAACATGTAACTTGGAACCATGATTTGCTGCATTGATCTGAACCCAAAAAGGCAGAAAGAAGCAAAGATCCATTGTAGGGAGGGGGGGAGTAAGCAAAACTTCTACTTTAGAATGTAAGCCAAAATACTAACTCTAATTTTAAAACTGCTCCAGGGGCAAGGCAGTTTTCAAAAGGAAACTGAAAATGAAAAGGGGAACAAAATGTGCTGCATGAGGGTTCCTCTAAAATATTTTAAAGATTTTTTTAACTTAAAAACATTGGTTTTACACTTAAAAGTATGCACTTCCATCATCAGAAGGAATGTCTAGCGTTTGGATTTTTGAAAAGTCCTTGGCTATATTTGGTACCTGTTTTGGAGAGGTGTTTGAAAGCAGATGGCAACTATGCTTCTCAGTTTACGGATCTCAATGTATGATTGGGAGACTTTATTTTAAAACAGATTCTGTCTTTCTGGCACTCCTCCCTGACTCAAGCCGATTTTCTGAATCAGGTTTTGCAATTTTATAAGGCTTTAATTATCTCCTAAATTTTGTCCAAACTGATCATTTCTTTTTTCGTCTCTGGACTTTTCAGGACTCCTGACTTTAGCCACAGGAATGTCCCACGCATGGGTTCTCTTTGGTCCAGAGAGGTACAGGTTCATAATGAACGAAAACACTGGTTCCAGGCTTTCCTAGCCTCAACATGAAAAGTTCAGCCCACTAGGTTCAGGTGCCTGATTTCTAAGTTTTTAAATGAGGAATTCTTGTAGCTTTGTTCTGTAGCCTGCTCAGTGCCCTCCCTCTTCAAGGCACCTTCTAGAATCCACCTGCTGGGGTAACTGAGCATTTGCCATCCAGCATCAATAGTCTGAGCTTTTTACTTAGAAGGGAGGTAGGAGATCTTGTAGGCCTCCCAAGTCTTCACACTGTTACCGCAGGTAATGACCACCCCAGCCCTGTTGTTGAAAGTGGCTGCAGAAACTTGACCTTAGGTTCTTGAAGCAACTCTGTGAAGTTGCCAGGGCATGGGGGTGCATGTCTTATTTTTAACAGAGAAAAAACCTGCAACATGCATGAATTTCAGCTGGAGGTCACTAATCAGCTTCTAATATGTGACAGAGGCAGTCTATGTCTTTGACATCTACACTGGGCTTTTATAGTTATATATTGTCTTTGGTGTTATTTATTATGACCCTGACTTTTTAAAAAATTATTTTTTGGCTGAGCTATCACTCCACATTTTGGAATTATCTATCTCAGAGTATACAGATATAGGTTGCTGATTACCTCATGCTTTATGTAATCAGATACATTCATGATAGGAACACATGCATTTCACACCATAATACTTTCCTGCCGTGCAGATAACCCCATGCCAGGACGGAGCTGACCCTGAAGACTTTTAGGTCTGGTCCTTTAATTTTCATAGCTGGATGGCCGCTCATGTAGGGGGGACTTCCAAGCTCAGTGGGAGCCCAGCATGGAAGAACATCCTTGACCTCAGCAGTTATCACAGTCTTGTTAGCTTTAGATCAGTCTTAAACTAACTCAGTTTCCGGACCTCAGAAGTATTTGGAGGCAGATAATGAATTCTTTGTTGCAGATGGCTGTTCTGTGCATCATAGGATGTTTAGTGTCATCCCTGACTTCTACCCATTACATGCCTGTAGTACCCTCCTACCACCATCAACGAATTGTAACAACCAACAATTTTGCCAGACATTGCCAAATGTCCTGTAGAAGGGCAAAATTTATGGGGCTCATTTTTGTTAACACCCCAAACTCAAACTAACTTGACTTCATAACCAGTAAAAATCCCTTCTCTTTGGGCTTATTGCCTAACTACCTCTTTGGGATTACATGCTCACTCTGGACTTCCAGAAGAATCTGTCCTGGGCAAGGGAGGGCCTTGTACTGTGACCAGCTGTGTGTGTCTGCCCACCCTGGTTGGAGAATCAACCCTTGAGGACAGGAACCTCAGTTAGCTGTCCTGGCATCACACAGGAACTGGCTACCTTGAGAGTGACAGTGGATATGTTGACTGAACATTGATTGAACCCTTACCAGTAGGTGTTTTGTGATTATTTGGGGCTTGTTCAAGACTCATCTCAGGTAGATAAGATCTGAGCCCAGTATGGAGATGGTTTGGGGTATGTTCTTTCACTGGCCTCACCTGATGAATTTGGCTGTATAAATGGACTGGCAAGAGGAATGTTGCCAAGCACAGGCTGGCAACATTCTTAGTGAACCAGTGTAAATGGTAAATATTTGCAGGGGTTCAGGAAAGGACTTGCATTAAAAAGGCACTCTGATTTTTTGATATTTTCACCTCCAGAACAAGAAAGCTTTCTGCTCAGCCATGAGTGTGTGTCCATACCTCAGTCTACTCCACGGGCAGCAGTGGCAGCGGTGACAACAGTAGGACCTGCCTTTGGAGATCAGCTGCCTCGAGGGTTGATGGCTGGCATGTCACAGAGACCACCCAGCATGTACTGGTGTGTAGGGCCAGAGGGGTCAGCTGTATGTCCAGAACGCGCCATGGAGACCCACAACGGTAAGAGCAGGGCTGGCCATGCCTGCCTGGGTGCAACCCACAGTTCTTGTCCTATAGGGAGTCCAGGATGCATAAGAAAAAGAGATTCAACCAAAGGAAATTAAGTGCCAATGGTTTGGTGCTTTTTTTTTTTTTTTGCAATTTTTGGCCGGGGCTGGGTTTGAACCCGCTGCCTCTGGCATATGGGGCCAGCACCCTACTCCTTTGAGCCACAGCTTCTGCCCGCTTTTTTTTTTCTTTATCATAAAATATATCTTGAGATTCTCACTTAAATTCTGAAAATTGAAGGGCCATGAACAAAATTTATTGTTGGTTAAAAGACTTTTAAAATGGGAATTTCTTTTTATATTATAAAAATGATAACATGTTTAATAAAGAGAAATTGAAAAAGGAATAAAAAAATGGGGAAAAAAATCACCCAGAATTCCACTATGTCAAACACAAGCACAGTCAACATCTTGGTGAGTTCTCTTCTCTGTGCTGAAAGGATTCCCTTTAACTTTACTGTAGTTATAATGTGCATATAATTTTCTATCCTGCTTTTTTCTCTTAACATTTTAGCCATGACATTTACTTACAGAACCATCTAGCTCATGTGATAAGAAAAATATTTTATTTGGGCGTACTATACATTAATAAAATGATTGACCTAATCCGTATTTTCTTGATGTTTGGGTTTCTGCTGGTTGTCCACTCTTTTTTTTTTTTTTTTTTTTTTTTTGCAGTTTTTGGCCAGGGCTGGGTTTGAACCTACCACCTCTGGTATATAGGGCCGGCGCCCTACTCCTTGAGCCATAGGCACCACCCTGCCCACTCTTTCTCAAGCAGTCTATCCCTACCTTTTTATACATAGTTTTAAGATTATTTTCTTAATGTAGATTTTACGGAAGTCGATGATTGGGCTCGAACTTTTTTTTCATCTCTTTGCACGTATTGCCAGATTTTCCACTAGAGTTGCTTTTAACACCAGTAGAATAACGCTGATAGTGTTATTAACAATAAATATTTGTTAATCTCTTAGTACATACTGGCCACTGGGTTCAATGCCTTATGAAATAATCTCATACAATTCTCAAAAGAACTTATAAAAATAGTCTTTTGATCCCTATTTTGTACCTGAGGAACATGACGGTAAGAGAGGTCCAGAAACTTGCTCAAAGTCAACAACTCAAAAACTGCCGCCTGAACCCAGTCTTAACCCTAGAACTCTTACTCTTAAACTCTAGGCCATCATGCAGGAGGTGAGAGGGCCCATATGTTGCATGTGAGAGGCCCCGGTGTTCTTACCCGAGACCGTGATAATGACAGGGCATTTTATCTGGCTCAGTAGACATTTTGTTTGGTTTCTCCAGTATTCTTTCTCCATCTAAAATCTCTAGTAGTGGCTCAGCACCTATAGCTCAGTGGTTAGGGCACCAGCCACATACACCGGTGCTGGCGGGTTCAATCCTGGCCCTGGCCTGCTAAACAGCAATGACAACTATAACAAAAAAATAGCTGGGCATTGTGGCCGGTGCCTGTAGTCCCAGCTAGTTGGGAGGCTGAGGCAAGAGAATCACTTAAGCCCAAGAGTTTGAGGTTGCTATGAGCTATGATGCTGTGGCACTCTACTGAGGACAACATAGTGAGTCTCTGTCTCTAAATAAATAAATAAAATATCCAGTAGTTATATTCTGGTTCCTTTTAAGATCAAATAAATCTTTTGCCTTTTACTGAAGATTTCTGTGGAGAGGAATAGTCTGAGTTTTTGATCAATTTTTCGAAGCCTAACTTTAGCAAAACTAATTTAAAAGACAAAATAAATAAATAAAATGTCCAGCAGCTAATAAGGGAGATGTTTTCTGAAAGGTTTCTTTTTACATAAAACAAATTATGATATGGGACAAGAATTTGCTTTTTGACACTGCCCAGTACTAAACCGTTTTCAGAGTGCTCATTCACCTTGTATCTTAATTTTGATTTTCGTGTTTTTCATAATTTTTTCAGTTGCTTTATTAGTGTGAGAGCAAGGTGACATGGGCAGTAGGATGCCAAGTTTTGGGTAGCACTTTCATCTTTCCAGAGCTCTTATAGCTTCATTATCCTACCTCCTGCTCCTCTCAGCAGTACTGAGGGGTGAGGGTGGGGCAGGGACATGGGTCCATTTGGGACTTGCTGGGAAGTTAACTGTATCAACTGAAGGAGCACCACAGAATCACTGGGAGCTTCTCAGACTGCCAGTGTACCACCCAGATCCACCGGAGAGGCATCTCAGGGAAGGAGGTAGGCATGGGCATTTTTAAACATTCCCCTATGATGCTAATACGCAACTGGATTGGAAAATCAACCCTTCTCAATGGTCTGAGTCCCATAGAACAGTACTTCTCAATTGTAATAGGTATATGAGTCCCTGGGGATCTTGGTGAAATGCAGAATCTCATTCACTAGGTCTGGGGCATGGAGAGTCTATATTTGTAATAGGCTCCTGGGTCATGCTGATGGGTTGAAAAGGTAAAATGATGCTTTTTTAGGTTCTCAGGGATCCCTTGTTGATTCTTACAGGTCCCAGGGACCAGGCCACAATGAGCCTGGGGCAAGCCTAGTCCTACCCTCCAGGCTAGGTGTAGGACAGATAACCTGAAAATGTTTACGTGGACCAAGAGGCTATAGCATTGACGCTTCTCAGCCCCTGCTTGGTTTTGTTTTTGTTGTTTTCTTAAAGGTCTGCATCTGAGCTTTGCATTATCTCTTAGAAGGTCCCCTCTTCCTGGCAGCTGTGATCAGATGGAAAGAGCAAGCTGCCCCAGGACTCTCTTTCCCCCATAGAGTCTCAGTCACTGTTCTGGATGATCCTAAGGACACACTCAGCCTCCACTGGGTACTGGTCTAGGAGCATAGGGTTGGGATAAGGCAGGGAAGTGACACTCTATGAACCCCTGAGGGTAAGGGAGGTGTTTATACAGGGAACAAACACAGAAACCATAGAGTTGAAGTAGATGAGCAGAAAAGTGGCCTGAAATTCTTTGGAAAATTCTGGTTGTGGTTCAACATTAAGGAAATTGTATATAAGAAATTATAATAACAATTAAATCCTCATAAAGAATCTTATGAAAGCCCTATTATTTTATACCCATACTCTGAGAATTTAAAGGTCCGGCAGTGGTAAAGCAGAGCTGAGCCTGTTGGCCCCACCCCTGAGCTAACTAGCAGAATTTATTGATTCTAGGGATCATGGGTATCCAAACTTTTTTTTTTCTCCTCTGCCACACATTGAAAGAAGAAGAGTAGGCCCAACCTACCATCTTGGGCCATACATTAAATGCACAAACACTAATGGAAGCTAACTAGCAAAAACAAAAAAATAGTCTCTGCATATGTTTTGCAATAGCTAACACCACAGATAAGCGAAACAGGCCTCACATCATCTGTATGTGGTCCAGAGACTGTAGGTTGACACCCTCCTGCAGATCCCAATTTACAACATTGTGTATTGGGTTTCATTTTATAAGTATTTATATACCAATGCCACAGCCAGGAGGCAAGTGACACTCAAAGGCTATCCATGTAATCACATCTCTGTGTTGAGATTATAGACATATTTCATTTATCTAGGGTGTGTGTTTTCTACAGTGAATGTATGTTACTTTTTCTTACTTTCTGTTTCTTTTGCAATAAGAAAAATAATATATTGCAAGTTATTTTTTGAATTGCTATGTGATTAGGATCTAACAGGCATATCTCCTGTGCTCACAGCCCAGGTCAAATTTGCTTCTGCTGGCCTTACCCTTTAATGTCTTTCTGGAACAAATGAAGGAATTCTTGACTTCATATCCCTTCCCTGAGTCTCCTGCAGGGCTCCGCTCTGGCTCTCACTGGTTGAACTGGATTTTTTCCATTCCCCCTTCTCCCCAGACTTCCTGCCTCAAATCCACCAGCCTTACCCCAGGGAAGATTGATCAGCTCTGGCTGAGAAAAATTGGCTTCCAGAAGGAAAACCAAGGACACTGAGGTTATGTAGGGATAGCTCTCTCACCCTTTAAGATTTTTAGAAGATAACATGTTTGAAAATGATAAAGCTTTTGTTATCCTTCTAAGTATGGTTTTATGAACAAGACCTAAGGATGACTATGACACCTTGTTTTACTTCTGAGTTTAGGGCTGATGGTGTTTTATAATTTTTATTTGTGTGCCAGCTGTGCTCTTTCACATCTCCTACCTATCTTCACTAGTATGATCTCAGCTCACATTTTTTAGAAGGGCTAATCAGCTGCCTGGGGCCTCAGGTCTGTGTGTGCCTGTTGGAGGCCTGCAAGTGTGTTTGCAGCACCACTGTGTCCCAGGAAGGTGTGTGACAAGCTTCGCCTCGCTCTAGCAGTCAGCTTGTCTGCAGTGCAGGAGGAACATTTAGAGAACTTTGATGAGTTTAGAGTTTGTCAGTTGATAGAATCAGCTCCCACAAGATACTGGGCCTGGGCTGCAGGGAGAACTACTTTGACAAACATGTCATGACACCAGCCAAAGTGGAAAAACCTGTCCTGCCAGCTGAGGTGATCCTCCCTGGAACCTAGAGAAGCAAGGAAACTTCCAGATAACTCAGGCTGGGAGTCTCTTGATGAGACTCTCTGGACTGTGGAGGGTGGGGTGCTTGGGCAGACCTCACCCAGTGATAGCGCTCTGTCCTTAACCTCTCACCCAGGTGGTTGCTTCCTCCCCCCGCCACACACCTACACAGGTCACCATTTTGGCCCTGAAAACTATTACCCAGCTCCACGCTTCTCAGAGTACTGTCCACTACCGGGCCCAGCATGGACCTAGGGAGGAGAAGTGGCGCCCAGAGGGTCTTCAAAGCCCAGGTTGTTTCATGGCTGCTTCTGATGTCCTTTTTTCTTTTCTCCTGCACCTTTTTCAAACCTGTATTAAAAATATAACTTCTTAGTAGAAAACCCAAGTGGTTGGCTTAAGTGGGGACTCTCCCTCTCCCAAAATAGAAGTATACACTGAATTCAGAAGTGCGTCTAGGGTGGTAGCATCCCTTCTTATGGGGCCACTGTAGGCCATGCTTCAAGGGACAAATCCCTTGGAGGCAACAGCCCACATCCTTAACCTGTTCCTCCTGCTGGTGTCCTGCTTGCCTCGGCTATACCGCATACAACAGAGGAGGGGCATGCAGGGGACAGGGCTTTGTTGGGGAGGAGCCTCCCGCCAGGAGCACACTGAGCTCCTCCAGGGATTGTAGGCCAAGTCCAGTAAGGAGTCTTGTATTGAGTGAGACAAAGAAAAGGAGGCTGATTCGTGGCACAGATGGAGGGAGAAGTGACTGTGGGTGTCCATCCATGAAGGTGGCAGTTAACACAGCTGGGCTGCATGCCCACAAAGCAGAGCCCAACTTCAGAAGCTCTGGGCTTGATGAGGCTTTGAGCATTAACAGTAATCTGAGACTTAAACGGTTTCATAATTATTTGTCCAGAATGTGCTTGCTTACTTCTGGCAACAGGGAGTTGACTACCTATCGAACGATGCCGGCCTTTCTGTGGACAATATTGTTAGGAAGTTTATGCTATAGGACTCTGTCCTGCTGTTATTGTGTCTCCGGCTACCCATTTAGGCCTGTTGGAATCCCTTTACCCCATTCTTGGGGACATTAAAGGCAGATGCCTTGCCTTCCCTGCATGTTCCTTGTTAGACAGAGTAAGCCATTCTACTACCTTCATGAAGTCCACTTGGATTTCTTCCAAATATTTTTGCACAGTCTGTCTGTGGACTAATCATTAGGCCATGGTTGCTGGGGTCCAGGGGAAGAGCTACCCCTACTGGCTCCCCTGTTCCCACCATGAAAGGGCTCTCAGGAGTGCCCCCACTCACCTACCCAAGTCTAAGTGGCCCAGACCTGAAGGTGATGGCTCACCTACAGCCTCAGGCCCTCTCCTCCTGCCCTACCATCCCCACCCCATACTTGCTCCTGACTCAGCTTCCTTTATGTGGAGTGGGCAGGACAGCCCCACCTGCTGACCTCCTTACTTGCTGGGGAACAAGGAGGCCCACTTGGCAAACACTAGGCAGCCAAGAGAAAAGCTTTCCTTTCCTGCCACCTTCCCTGGTCCCCATGAAGAGGTCAGTGGTCTATGAGCAGGGAGATGCCTCTGTGGACATCCCCAGACCTCTGTACAGAGGGACAAGGATTTTCACCCACCTATCTGGATTCTTGATCCATGTGAGGTAGATCTTGAAGGATCCATAATTAGGGATTTTTATGAAATTCTTTGGTTCTCTGAGAATGAACTTCTCTCCCCACCAAAATATATAAGTCTGTACTCTAGGGTATGAATTTTACATACATTTTTGGGAACCCTGGTAAATGAAAATGTAAAGCTACCAGTATTCCTTGGAAGTTTCATATCCCTTCACCATTCAAGCCACCTTTGGGTTCAGTTTGTCCAGATTCCACTTAACCACCTTGCTATATATTGGATGACATTTGTCATAAAGAAGAAACAAGAGAAAAGCCAAAAAACAGAAATATGTGTCTCAAGCAATAGAATCCTTCCTGAGCTCATAAACCTGATGCTATAGAAGGAATTGTACATTAATCAGAAATCACATTTTCACTCTACAGAACCTTGGAGGATTGCAGTTCTTTTGCTAATTCTTGCTAGGGTTGTGCCTAGAGATGCCTTCTCATCCTCAACTCATCATTCAGGAGCCAGCGCATGTTGCCAGGTGTTGCATACAATCACCTACCTGCTCAGTTCAAGAAAACCAAGAACAAAGAATTGATGTGGGACTTCGAACTTTTCAGAGACTTAG